AAGCAGCCTAAAAATGTAACCAACTTGGGCTGGAGAGGTGGCTCAGTGGTTAAGAGCACTGCCTGCTCTTCCAGAGATCCTGAGTTCAATTCCCAGCACCCACGTGGCAGCTTACAACTGTCTGTAGCTCCAATTCCAGCGGATCTGACACCTTCACTCAGACTATTATATGTAGGCAAAACACCAATGCACATAAAAAAATAAAAAGGAATCATCAAAAATGTAAGCAACTGCCGGACGGTGGTGGCGCACGCCTTTAATCCCAGCACTTGGGAGGCAGAGACAGGCAGATTTCTGAGTTCGAGGCCAGCCTGGTCTACAGAGTGAGTTCCAGGACAGCCAGGGCTACACAGAGAAACCCTGTCTCGAAAAACCAAAAGAAAAAAGAAAAAAAAAATGTAAGCAACTTAACCAAAACAAAAAAGCTGCTGTAAGGGGTGTGGGCATAACTGCACACAACTTTCATCCCGGCACAGGCAGATAGATCTCTGAATCTGAGGCAGCCTGGTCTATATGTCAAGTTCCATGCCAGCAGAATTAACAGTTACATTTATGAGACCTTTTGGAGCATACAGTTCTGTACAGACACATTCATTCAGACAAAATACCTATACAAATAAAATAAAATATAGAAAGTTTTAAAAAATAATATCTAAGCCAGGTGTGATGTTGCAAGCTTTTAATTCCAGCACTCAGGAGGCAGAGGCAGACAGATCTCTGAGTTCAAGGCCAGCCTGGTCTACAAAGTGATCTATTACACAGAAAAACTCTCAAAAAAAGGAAAGAATTACTAAAGACTCATTGAGTGTTTTTGGGGGCAGGGGGAGGAGAGGCTGGAGGGGTGATTTGAGACAGGATTTCTCTTTGCAGCCCTGGCTGTCCTAGAACTCATTTTGTAGACCCAGGCTGGCCTCCAACCCAGATCTTTTTTAAGTAATAATTATATAGTTCTTGAACAGAATCACCCAAAAGTATTGATTTCCCTTTTCCTTGACTTGCCAAGATACCGATAGACATATAGAAACAAGCTGTGGGGGCTGGAGAGATGGCTCAGAGGTTAAGAGCAACAGCTGCTCTTCCAGAGGTCCTGAGTTCAATTCTCAGCAACCACATGGTGGCTCACAACCATCTGTAATGAGATCTGGTGCCCTCTTCTGGTGTATCTGAAGATAGCTACAGTGTATTCATACAAATAAAATAAATCTTAAAAAAAAAAAAAACTCTAGAAACAAGCTGTGTGTGGTAGTCCTAGTGCTTGGGAGGCTAAGGCAGAAGGATTTCTAGGCCATCCTTGGCTACATGGTTCTAAGATAACCTGGGCTATTTAAGACTCTATCTGGGGGAAAAAACAAAGTAAAACAAAACAAAAGGAGCAAAGGGCACAAAATTTTACACCAAATTGGAGTTTCAAACTTTGGTCAGAATGTAAGAAAACCCAAAGAATAAACTACAGGCTGGAGAAATGATAAAGGGAAAAATCACTTGTCACACAGCATCAAGACGGTCTGGATCTCTAGAACCATGTAAACGCTGGATGCAGTAGTATGAATCTGTGATTCCAGCAGCTAAGGAGAAATAGACGGGAACATCCCTGAAGCTCGAGGGCCAGCTGGTCTGGTCATACAAGTGAGCAAAAGACTCTGTCCCAGACAAGGTTAAAAAATGAAGGTCAATATTCAAGATTGTCCTCTGACCTTCGTGTGTGTAGAAATAGTCCATGAGCCCCAGTAGCCTCAATACTGTCCTGGTTGGAAGAACCGGCATCTTCTCCTCTGTTATGTATTCCATGAAGGCCCAGTCTGAGAGGAAATATCAACTGCTAAATCCAAGAAGAAAAGAAACGGATAGTGGTGAACATCTTTAATCCCAGCACTCAGGAGGCAGAGCCAGTGGGATCTCTGTGAGCTGGATGGTCAGCCTGGTCTACATAGTTCCAGAACATTGAAAGCTACACAGAGAAACCCTGTCGAAGAAGAGGAGGAGGAAGAAGAAGAAGAGGAAGAGAGGAAGAAAGAAAATAAACTAGACTGTGAGGAAGCCACACCTCAACACCATACCCCTTCCTTCACTCAGTTTCAGAAGAACTGAGTCTTCCAAATTAGTTACTCATGAATAGAAGTAAATGGACCTCCAACTCTCCATCCTCCTCCCTCAGCTCCCCATATAGATGTGGCTACAGGTGGACCACAGAGCCTGGTTTAGCTACACTTTTAATAGTAATAAACGCTAAGTCTGGCTTGGAGAGCTGGCTCAGTGGTTAAAAGCATTGACTGCTCTTCCAGAGGTCCTGAGTTCAATTCCTAGCAACCACATGGTGGCTCACAACCATCTGTAAGGGGATCTGATGCCCTCTTCTGGTGTCTGAAGACAGTGACAGTGTACTCATATATAAATAATATTTTAAAAAATTAAAAACCACTAAGTCATGTGCATATACCACTGGTTGTCTTCCTAGTAATCCTATAGAGCAGTGACGAGTGTCCCCATTTTACAAATGAAGGCAATAATAGGCTAACTAGTCTAAATGATCCACATGATATTCAAAGAAGATTGTGAAATGTTCTTTGTGGGGATGGAGGGTTGGTCTTATTTAGCCCAGGCTGGTCTCAAACTTTAATATAGCCAAGGATAACCTCCATGTCCCAAGTGCTGGCATTACAAGCTTTCACCATCATGCCTGGCTTTATGAAATACTGGGCACGGAACTGGACCTTCACATATGCTGCGAAAGGGTAACAACTGAGCTGTATAGTCCCAGACCCACATCTGTTCCTAGTCACTTGCCGTGTCTCCTATATGAGGGTGATTTCAGAATTCCCCAATCCTTGTAAACTCTGCTATTCCAATTAATCCTGACTTGCTGGTCCTAATTCTCATTTATTATACTCAAAGTCTCAAAACATTTTATTCTTTCTCTTATTTCTGCTTTTATAAGTATGGGTGTAGCACTGCCTGCAGATACGTCTGTGCACCCCTTTTGCACCCAGTGCATTCAATGTCCCCAGAGCCCAGAAGAGGGCTTGGGATTCTCCAGGAGTTGTAGTTACAGACAGCAGTGCTGTAGACTCTGGGAATCAAACCCTTATCCTCTGAAACAGCAGCTAGTGCTCTTAACTGGTGATTCTTATCTTCAGGCCAGATTTTGATAATGTTAAGTTGCAAACCAGGGGCAAAGGGCTGAGATGGCTAATTAACATAGCAAAGTGGACATGGCCTCCAGGCTTTCCGAGTATCCCTCAGTCCCCACCTGTTACAGGGTCTGGCTGACCCACTCTGCCCTCTACCTGAACTATTTAGCCCAAGGGCTGGGCTACCCTCCCCACTCTTCCCACAGAGACTCTTCCTTGTATAATCCAGACATGTTGATTACTCACCCTTTTTGTACCTTTGGATTCCATGCTGCTATGCCTGGTTCCCTCTCTCCCTCTCCTTTTTCCCCCTCCTACATGGGTGAGCTCACTCTGGTCACGTCCTCTGTACTGGGGATCCTTTTGCCTCTGGCTATGCTCTCTCTCATACCCATAAAGAACTTTATCTTCCTCCATACCTAGGGGCAATCATAGCCTTTCCTTTTAATTTCTTTTTCATTCTTTATGTGTACTTGAGGTGTGTGGAGTCTGATCTCTTCCACCTTTCCATGGATTTCACGGATGGAAGGTCGCCAGACCTGCACAAGTTCCTAATCCAGCTGAACCAGCTGACCAGCCCAATCAGGGCTTAAGGTACCTTTCAGATGTTTAACTTTCTCAACGCTTCCTAGAAAACACAGCCAACCAAATCAAGTGTTAAGTTAGCCAGATACAATGTTGTCCAGCTGTAATCTCAACACTTTTGAGGATTGTAGCAAATTTGAGACTAGCTTGGACCTATAGAGAGCTTGCTTTAAAAACAAAGAACAGCAACAACTAAGTAATTCAGGTCCAAAATTGTTTAGTCCTTTTGTTAGAAATAAGAGATGGTGTGTACGTCAGTAACTATTTCTTTGACAAAATACTGGTTTTATGGTATATTCTACTTTCAAACAGTATGAGGTTTTGTTTGTTTTGAGACAAGCTCTCAATATCTAGTCCAGGATGGCTCCAAATTTGCTAGGTTCAGAGGCAGGTGGGTCTCTAAGGTCACGCTGGTCTATACAGCAAGACCTTGTCTCAAAAACACAAAGCAAGGCCCGGCTTGATAGCCCAGCCTTTAATTCCAGCACTTTGGAGGTAGAGGCAGGTGGATTTCTATGTGAGTTGGAAGCCAGCCAGGGCTACATAAAGACCTTGTCTCAACAAAAGACCACACACACAAAATTCACCTCAAATGTGTTGAGGTTTTGCAGAGGACAACTTTGAACTTTTGATTCCCGTGGAGGACAACTTTGAACTTTTGATCCCGTCTCTGCCTCCAAAGTGCTGGATTGCGGGCTCGCACCACTTGCGATTTTATGTGGTGCTGTGGATGGAACTCAAGACTTCTTGCATGCTAAGCCAATGCACTTTACCAACCGAGCTACATTCCCAAGCTCAAGTGTGAGTTTTTAAGGTATAGCCCTACGACACTAAAAAAAGGGTGAACTTTAGAAGAGCTGAGAAGTGCCCAGGGTATCAGGCGAAGCGAATTGTGTTTATGCTCTGTGCTTGAGGTTTTTCCTTGGAGAGAACCGAGTTTTTGCTGTCCTAAATCCTCTATTTCCAAAATTTAAACAATAGTGCGAACACAAGCTCTGTGACGTTCGCTGTTAACTCGCCACTCGTTCTCTTAAAGGGGAGACCCGGGCGCCGTCTTAAACAGCTGTCGCTATTTCGCATACGGTCTTGGCTCGTCCCTCGGGGTCAAGGCCATGGCGGGGCGGCCCCTACAGCTCCGGCCAGGCCTGCGCGTCCTCTTAGGAATTCATAGCCTTATTTAGACCGCGTCACCACCGTACCCGAAGAACAGCTGCTCTGCTCGCTACAGGAAGTGGAGGCCTGCGCGCCTGACCCGGAACCGCATGTTGGTCCCGCCCTCTTGGTGCCCGGCTTCCTTCTGCAACAGGCGTGGGTCACGGGCTCGCTCGCTCTCTTTCTGCCGCCATCTTGGTTCCGTGTTCTCCGCACAGTAAGTGCCGCTTGCGCCTCTGCTTTCCATCCACAGCCATCCTCGCCTGTTGCGAGCTCTGCGGCCCCCGGGAATTTAGTTAAGGGGCTCTGGCGGCTCCGTGGGGCTCAGAGTTCTTAACTCGCCCCCGCGCCTGCGGACAAAATGGGGTCTGCGCTTTGGATCGCAGCAAAAGCAGGGCAGAAGGGCCACCGGTCCAGCCCGGGGTTTAGGCGTGGGAACGTGGAAACCATTGGGGTGCAGCAGGAGAGGCTGGGCGCGTCTGCAGTTGGGAAGGGCGCCACGGGGATCTGGAGGAGGTTAAGGGGGTCACAGCCTCGGAACTCGCAACGTCGTCCCGTGGCAAGGGATTGCCGGTCTTGAGGCACCCCGTATTCTTCTTGCTCTGCCAAGGGGGTCAATAGAGAGTCTGGGGTTACCAGGCGTGAGTGTTAGGACCGGAAGGGGTCCAAGGTAGCGCCTGAGATCTCACGATTAGGAGCTAGACCTTGGGATTGCTGTCCTTGTCGGATCGGAAGAGTGAAAACAAGGACCTGGCCAGTGCGAAGTCAGCTATCTGCTAAGTGAAGCGGCTCCATGAGGTCAGATCCCTTTGGCAGACATCTGAGGGTCGTGGCATAGTTTCAACATGTTTCCAGTCTCTTTAAGGGAGGTTGTCGCCCAGATCCTCGGGATATTTCTTCTTAATGGGCCTTACGCTTTTTTTTTTTTTTCCTGAATACTTGACTAGGCAGAATACTTGGGCTAGGCAGGTGAATTCACCTTAGTTAATTCGGGGCCTCCGTTTTATTCCCTTCAGAAATGCCCGGTGAAGCCACAGAAACCGTCCCTGCTACAGAGCAGGAGTTGCCACAGCCTCAGGCTGAGACAGGTAGGTGCCCATAGCTCTTTTACTGTTAATGAAAACTGATCCTAAAGCCATTTGGTGGGTAAAGGGACAAATACCTTTCTGCCTTTTGTAGTTTATTGCCGTTTAAAGAAAGAATTTTAAATGGGATTGTATCTTTAGTACACAATCTAATTTCTATCTTTGGGGGGGGACTCCTTAGGGGAAGAAAGTAAAAGATTGTTATCTTTGAGATTTATACGCGGGTTTCTCTAGCCTGCTTTGTGAATACACCAGCTGCTGGAAAAGCTCTTCTGTGGAATCTACATATGGGAAACCTGAGTAGGGAAGGGTCTGAGTGGTTCTGGTCTGTTGTAATACGGTGGCACAGGCAGGCCAAGGAGACCTGAGCTTTGGTGAAGTTCCGGCCAGCAAGTTGGGTCGAGGTTTTAGATAGCCACGGTTGGCACCGAGCCTTTCATCACATGTCTGGATGAGATATTGCTGCTTATAAGCATGTCTTAGCTAAGCCTCGGCCTGGGTTAGTTAATTTGTAGGGACTGTTAATGCTTGCTAGTGTAGTTCCATTACATAAGACTGAAGTAAATTCTTGAGGTTTTTTTTAAACTGAAATAGAATGTTAGTCTGAAGATAGGCTTGAATGCTGATGAACACATTTTGATAGAGAACTTAAGAAGAGATTCTGGAAAGAATGTGAATGGTTTTGTTTGCTGAGTCAGTTCTACAGAACTAAATGAAGGGTATCTTAAGGATAGCCGTAAGATAAGTGCTGGGCAATAGTGTGTGCCTTTACTCCCAGCGCATGGGAGTTGTAGGGCAGCAAGAGAGACCTTGTTGAGGGGAAAAAAGATACGCCCTCTACTTTGTTTTTAATAGAATTTTTGTTGTTACTCATGGGAGTTTGTGTTTTCTTTTGGAATTAAAGTTATTTATATTTAAAAGCATTATAGTCCTCCCTCCCCACCTGTCTGATTTTTAGCAGCTGAAGGGATTAATCCAGCTTTTAGACCAAAAAGGAGATGGGACCCTGAGCTGGGAAATGGGCAGTGTGGAGAAGGAATGGTTTCTGGGGATCTGCAACTTCGGAGTTCAACAAGAGTTAAACTATTTTACAAATGTGGAGGCTGAAAGTGAACTTAGAATGTCCTGATCCCAGTTTTTAAAATAGTTTCTAAAACAGTCCTTAGTGTTAAAGATATTCCTAATTAGTCTGAACTTGCACTTGTATTGAGGGCAATACCCATGATATCTGTATCTAATTATTCTTACTGAAATACATGAGAATAATCAGGATATTGGTTATAGTTTAAAAGCAAGAAATGTGGGCATGTTTTTAAATTCTAGTTAATATGTGTACAAGAAGTATTTGCATTATAATTAGAAGGCTTTGACCTACCAATTCTCCAGAAAGACCAGTCCAGCCACCTCTTTGTCCTGTAATCTTGTACTATAAGAATTTGAGAATAAACTAGCTGAGTGGGCGTTTTCATGACTCACACCCATCTGGATATTTATCATTTATTGACTCTGCTGTAATCCAATGTTGTCTCTTGAATGGCAGAAACTATGCTCCTTCAGTAATCTTCGTAGTGCCGAATAGTAGACTATTTAGACAGGATAGCATCCTTATCTAAATTAAGGAGTAGGGAGCATGTATTTCTAAAGTATGGCTTAATGATTTGGATCTAGTTTCATGATATAGTTCCCACCTTGTCCTCCTTTGAGGCCTGAGTTAGAGAAGAGCCAGTACTGCTGAAGCAGGGAGGGAGGATGGCGTAGGGCCCGCCTGTGGTGAGACTTAGTGTTTGGTACCAATGTTGAGGGGCTTCAGCTTTACTAGAGCCGAGTTAGGCTAGCTGTGTCCTTTCTAAAATGTGTTCCACCATAATAGAATTCTCACTCTCCATACCCTGCCCCACTCCTAGAAGTCTAAAAGTGTAGCCAGAAAAGATTTGGGTGAAATGTGGTCACACTCCTTTAATCCAATCAGAAATAGAGACAACCCTGAGTTCCTGGGGCTGCGGTGAGACCATGTCTAAAAAACAAAACATGGAGAGTAGTGCCAGTCTTATGAAGGAGGGGGAAATCACTCCGCGTCAGTGGCTGGTGCTACAGGGTATAAGCAGAGAATTGTATATTCAAGGCCAGTCTAAGAAATTGGTAGGACTGTCTGAAAAAGAGGGCTATGGTTTTATATATACTATGTATATATGAAACCTTAGTAGTAGAGAGTTCTTGCATAGCATTCGTAAAGCCCTGGGCTTAATCAGTAACAGGGTGTGGGCCTGTGCTCCCCATTTAGAGATGAGCTAGTCTTGGAGTCTGCCCCACCTTAAAATAGTTGGTTTATTTTGAAGGATGTAGTCCACTTAATCACTGAAATATGCACAGGCAAAGTTGATATTGCTTGTCACCTGTTTCTAATCCCTTGTGGTGACCGTCATTCTCAGATTTTAAACTTTGTTGTTTCCTGTGAGACATGTTACCAACTTGGGCTGCACAACTCACCTTTTCCCCCCCTCCCTTTATCTCTTTTTTTTGTTTTGGTTTTTATTTTATTTTTGCTTTTCTCCAGCTGTGCTTCCTATGTCTTCAGCCTTGACTATTACTGCTACTCTAGGGCAGCCTGGACCTCCCGCTCCCCCCTCCCTGGGTCCCCAACAAAGCCCTCTAGTAACTGCTCCTCAGCCTCCTCCACTCCCTTCTAGTGTTCCCTCAACCCCCTTTGAAGTTCCTTTTGCCCAGCCCATAACAGCTGAAACTGCTCTGCCCTCAGGAGCCACCCCTCCTACCCCAACTTTCCTGCCACATCTGATAGGGCCTCCCATCTCCCCAGCTGCCTTAGCCTTGGCCTCTCCCATGATAGGTCCAGCTCAGAAAGGTGCCCGTTCCTCCTCGGCTCCCTTGTCTCTGGTCGCATTGGCTCCTCACTCAGTTCAGAAGAGCTCTGTGTGTCCCCCTCACCCTCTTACCTCACCTCTATCAGCTGCTGGAGCAGAGTCAGGGGCATTGACATCTATGACAGCTTCCATCTCTCCCTTAGAACCAAAGGCTTCTTCTACCAGTCAGGTTCCCTCTCAGGGAACCCCGAATCTAAAAGGCACTACCCCACGTCCTCCAGATGTAGTCAGTGCTTTTCCTCCCCACCTTGAAACCCCCCTGGCCTCTGCTCAGCTTGGTTTAACATCCTGTCCTCAAACACTACCCGTCACTTCCCCAGTGAAAGGTGTCCCCATTTCCTCAGCTTTAACACAAAGTCTGCTAAGCTTTAACCTAAAAGGGCCTGTTAGTACCCCTGCTCAGAGCGCTGTAACCCCCAGCTTCCCCCCAGCACCCTCTGCTTCTCCTGGCTCTCATCTTCCACCTCTGCATCACAGTTCTTTGGATTCTCCTATCCAGCCTCCAGGTCAGTCAGGTCTTGCAGTGAATAATGCCATTTCTGTAGATGATTCTATTGCAGCCTCGTACCCACCTGAGCCATCTGTAGCCTCTACCATGCTTTCCAGACATGAGCTAGCTGCTGGGTATGTGGCAGCTCCATCTGTTGACAAGGGCTCCTCTGCTGCTGCTAATGAAGTTTGCAGCCCTCCTGGCTTTTCCTTGTCTCCTACAGCCTCTCTCATTCCCAAAAGCGCTAATGCTGCTCTGCATCCTTTGGTGAATCAAGTTCCTGCTTCTCAAAAAACTGCCTTAAAAGAAACTCCTGTCTCCTGTATTGGAGCCATCCACTCTGTGCGGGATAACCCTGCTACCATTTCTGTAGCACCTGCCACTCATGTGTCTCCTTCAGCTTCATCAGGTCTTGTAAGTAGTAAAGACCCGGTTTCCCCTGTTACTTCACTTGTATCTGCTGCTCACAAGCAGTTTCCTGCTCCTCCAGTATCAGCTACTCTAGGGGTGTCTCTTCCACCAGCCACTGAAGACCTTAAAAGTTTTCCCATTTCAGCATTGGTGAATGTAGGAGCCCCTGTTTCTCCAGCTCAGGCAGGGCTCCCTACCAGAAAAGACACTACTATACAACCTGTGACGCTTAAAGAGTCTTCCTCTTCTCAAAGTGCATCATCTCTGGAGGTACTTTCAGAAGACACTGTGTCAAAGAAGACTACAAGAGGGCCTGCCCCTGTAGTACAGTCAGCCATTGCTGTTGGTCAACCTCTCAAAAGTTCTGTCGCTGCCCCAGCAATGGCTCCATTTCTTTCAGAAACTTGTGATTCTAAAGGGCTGGATCCTAGACCTGCCAAAGATACCTTTCCTTCTACCACTTCACCTCTGGTTCCTTTAGCCTCTGAAGGCTGTCCTGTGGCTCCTTCTATGGCTTTGTCCCCCCAGAATGCTTCTGTTTCTGTGACTACTTTGGCATCATCCCCTGAAATTCCCAAGTCTGTATCCTTTCCTGCTTCTCTCTCAGCTGGGATTTCTTTTTCCGGTGCAAGGAAAGTTGATGTTGTCTCTCATATGGAGTCTTCGGGCTCCTCTCATGAAGGGTACAAAGATGCTTCTGTGTCTTCCAAAGAAACTGTGGTTTGTCTAGCTAACTCATCTTTAGACACTAGTGTGTCTCCTCAGACTAAGCAGCCTGCATCCAAGCAGGGCTCTGCTCTCCCAGGTGTTTCTCCTCACACTGTCTCGTCTCCTCCTTGTCCACTTGAGGCGTCTTTCCTTCCAGAGCCAGGTCTATCTCTTCAAGGCCCTAAAAGCCCACTTAATAAGCTTTCTCCCGTTTCTCCATCCTCCAAAGGGGCCCCTATTCCTTCAACTGTGGCTCCTCCCTCCCCTAAAGGGGCCCCTGTTGTTCCAACAGAAGCTTCTGTCTCCTCCAAAAAGGTCCCAGCAGAAATTCTTCCTTCCCTTCAAAAGTCCCCAGAACCTACAGCTTCCAGGCTGATCTCAGCAGTCCAGTCTCCTAAAGTGGACCCTATTTTATCAGATGTGACTCCTACCTCTCCCAAAAAGACTCCAGCAGCAGCAGTCCCCAAAGATACTTCAGCAACCCTGTCTCTCAAAAGTGTTCCAGCTGTGACTTC